CATTCCTTCAATCTGCCAAACACATATCCAACTGTCATTCTGCACCTGGTAGCTAATCTTTCCTTGGTGCTGTTGAGGTGGCCAGTGTGTGACTTCATGAGCCAGAGGCAGGCTGGGTCCTCCAGGGGTCACTATTGGCATTTCAACATCACCAATGACAAACTACGGGTCAGGAAAGAAAGTTCCTGCTTGTAGCTTTCTGGACAGTCCTGTGTTCTTAGAGATGCAAGCATCGTGCACCTTCCCTGAACAGCCAACAATGATGTTGGTGAGGCATCCCCAGTGATCCCCTAATGCTTGCATAACCATAGAAAATAGCCCTTTCTGTTGCTGTACTCTGTGGAAAGGTGATCTGGTGCCATCTATCACTCCACTGCAGTTCAGGAACCTCGTTGCTGCAAATCCATCCACTCTCTCCTCCACAGAGTCATAGCTCTGCACAGCATGAGACCATTAATGGCGCTGCACACTTGCATAATAACAGCCCCCAGAACAGATTTTCCAATGCCAGAATGATTTCCCACTGACTGGTAGCTACCTGGTGTCGCAAGTTCAGCTCTCTTTTTAATGTCCTTGTGTAACCCACACACCTTCTGGGTGTGGTGTTCTGTCCCATCTAGTGGCACCAAGACCACTTAAAAAGAGAGCTAAAATGAGTCTGCTCTACAGTCTGCGCTACAGTTAACAGCCTGCTGGCTTTTAGCTCCTGTGGTAGAGGCTCATACACTAAGCTCCAGAGGTCCCAGGTTCGATCCCACCCACCGACGACTGGGATCTGTTGGCATTATGCTTGCACTGGAGGGCTGGGATGAGGTTGGCACACAGATCTGGTAATGTGGCCTTGCACATCCAAAAATTCTACAGACAGTGCTCATCATCCCAAACCTGCATTATGATGCAATCCCACAAGTCAGTGCTCATGTCTCAGGCCCAGAAATGGTGCTCCACCATCTGAAGCTGCTCAGTGAATGCCACCACCAACTTTAAATTGGTTCTCACTATGTCCCACAGCAATCTGTCGTGCAAAAAATCAGCATGGTTGACATGGATTTGGTTCTGCTTACAGCTGTCCAAATACCAGAGGATTGCGCGTCCTCTGATTGCAATGATTAGGACAACAGTGTAGAGCAGTGCAGGCTCCATGCTTCTGGGTGAACAGTGAGGAGTGCCATATGGGTTCATGGGATTTCTAAAAAAGGCACAAACATGATGGGATATAGAAGACATTATGGGATGGAGACAGTTGCATGCTGGAAAGTTGAGCCCTTGCTCCCAGTCACCCACGAGTCACTCATTTCTGCCCCACCATTCATTGCCAAAAACTTCCCAAAAATCAGCACACTGGACGGTGGTGGGTTGCACACTCAGATACCTACTCATGGTGGACAACACTGTGCATCGACACAAGCACTCCTGGTGAGCATATACAGCTCCAGTGCAAGGAGCCAAGTATACACATGCACAAATGATATACTATTTGGTAGTGGCTTTATGCTGACGTAATGTGCATCAACCAAAGTTTGTAGCGTAGACATGGCCACAGGAATGTTGGATATGGAGGGGAAGCCCGCGGCATAGGAGAGACCACCTCAAAATACTTACTTGCTCTTTTTTGTTCTGCTGTAAGATGTGCTAGTGAGAGTAATGTACATCTGTCTGTGTTCTCAGATGCCTGAGTAAGTAAGTAATCAAGTATTGATGATACTCTAACATATGAAAGGAATGATGCCAGAACTCCACCACGCTCAGCAGCACCTCCTCAGACATAGTATTGCCATAAACTAATATAATCCAACTGTTAGTCTGGTAGGTAAACTGAGGTGTCCTTAGATAAATTATGGAGTGTTGCTGACCATGTCTTCTTTTCCACTTCTCATTCTTAAACAGATTAGCTAGTTCTCAGATGGAAAAAAAATCAAAATAAATAACCCCACTCCAAATAGAGGTCTGACCCCAAAAATGGAGAACAGACAGACTTTCTATCAGGTCTGCTAGGAATTTGGACACTGATGATGATTTTATGTGGAAGGTGCACAGATACTATAGTGATGGGTGGCACTCTAAAACCTTTAGATAAAAGGGCCAAATCCACTAGCCTTAGTGGTTGGGCTGGAAATGGGAAGATGGCTGCAGAGAGTACATCAACCAACAGGCTGAGGTAGCCCTTCACACCCTTCATAGCTTTCACTGCAGGGCATAGAGGCAGAGGATTCATATAGTAGTGGAACTACTGTCCCCACTCCCACAGTTTGTCTCTATGATACTCCCAAATGCAACTTTGGAAGGAAGAAGGACTTTGCTGAGGGGCTGCTCCACCTTGCATGTTTCTCCACCCAGTTCTTTGGCCTCCACCTTGTACAGTAAAACCCTAGCAATTCTAATACCAGGAGGCCCACTTGCAGAGGCAGGATTTGCTTACATTTTTTTTTTAACCACTATTAAAAAAAACCCCAGTGCAGTAGCTCAGTTATTTTTTGAACAGTCATTGATTTTGTCTCCCTCTCAATTTATTAACAGCCCTGCTTGCTTTAGAGCCTTCCCCATCTGATGTATTTCAAGTTCTCATATTCCCCTCAAGATGAAATGAGTCCCTGCAGTCACTTTTAAACACTGGATCCAAAGAGTCTCCAGTTACACATACATTGGAATGACTCAAATAAGACAGCAAAGTGGATTTGGTGCTCCGTTTTTACTTGAAAATGATAGTTGAGCACAGCCTGTTTCAAATGCTCTCTCTACCCCAACAATAATAATTGGGGAGGAAATGACAATGGGAAAAATTATTAAGTTTTAAGCTGACACACCACCTGTGCTGTGCCAGGGCATTTTGTACTTTTATACTCTCACAACAGTAAGGACTAGCGATAACCATTAAGTACTGATAAGTATATAGTCCCTTAGGACCAGATCATAAGCCCCTTGAAGAGACTGGAAGTCTTTCCATTGACTTCAGTGAGTTTTGGATCAGGACTTTATTTTGTCAATTTCTCAGGGCCAGGGCTGCTTTTCTTTGTTTTTTGTACAGAGCCAAACACATCTGCGTTTAACAAAATACTTCATGAGTATTTGCAGGGATTTAATCCTTTAGTAGAATAGCAGCTAGGATTTCACTGCCCCTCGCCCTGATGCAGCAAAGCAGGTAGGCACATGCCCTTACTGGCTAGGGATAGATTTATGCATGTAATTAAGTGCTTTGCTGAACCAGGGCTTCTGGGATGTAATACAGCTGCATTCAAATGAACAGGAACAGGATTGAACCTGTTTTTTTCTCTTGGATTCATGAGTTACATTGGGTTTGTTTTTAATATAATTTTTGTTGTTTATTTTGCATTTTAGAATGTTGAGGAAGAACAGCAAGTGGCAATAGAAGGATACCCAATAAATATAGTATTACTTAATATCACTTGATATTTATATTACAACTGTGGGGGGTGGGGGAACTTTCCCGATGAGAGCACCCAGTGAAATGATGGGTAGAGGAGACAAGACCAGAAAAATTAAACAAAAATGCAGAGTTCTATCTTTCAAAGACAGTATTGCTTTGCAAATTGTCACAAATCTATCACTGACCGCAGTATTCAGAACTGCAAATTATGTATTAATTGTGATGTGGCTTAAAGCAACATTTTTTAAAAAAGAAAGAAAGAATGAAAAATAAAACACAGTTTCATTAATTTACAACCTAATTAAAATCCAACATTGCTTTCAAATAAAAAACTACCACGACATGCAGGATTACATTTCTGCAGTCTCCAAAGATTGAAATATGGTCATCAAATTCTCATCCAATATGACCTTCAACATAAACTACAAAAACTGATCCAATTTAAGGCTTGTCTAAGCAGACAAGAATTCATGTAACCTCTAGTTAAATTATAAAACAAATAAAAACAGCTCAGAGGTCCAGATTTAAAAAACAAAATACTTCAGTCCCTGAAAATTTAACCAGTGCTTTCATGAAGACCACAGAGAAAATCATTGTTGCATTCTAGTAATTATTGGTTGTATACCTTTGTAGTTACGTTCTAATATTTATTTGTTTATATACCTTCAAGCATATGTGAGCATGGAGATATCAGAAAGGAATAAGTATTACTCAGATTAATCATTTCTTTGGGGCAGGGACCACTTTTGTTATGTGTTTGTACAGCACTGCGCACAGGTCCATGACAGATCCCTCCTGCTCTTAGGCACTACCTCAGCACAAATAATAATAGCACAATGAAAAAGGTTGTTTCTTCACTGATGGAATAATTTGAATACTCAGGGTCAGACTATTCTGCTAGGTGAGTTACTCTCTTGCAAGAGGACAGAAAATTCTACTAATTGGTGCTCAAAATCATAGCAATGGCTAATTTGTAGTTATCTACCCTAACCTGATGTCCCCAGGCTAATGCAGATCCAGAAATCTAATTAAGCACCAACTTCCCTTGTTCTCAGGGTTTGGTTTTTTTTTTTACTCTCTTACTCTCACATTGCAACAGCCTGACTAGAACCTCCCCAGCCAATTCCTTATGAGCTGGGAACAACAGCTCCCAAATCAAAAAGTGAAAATATAGAGAGAGATATCCATGGGATGAGAAAGATGCAGCATTGAGTGAACACACATTACCTCAAAATGGGTCTGATTTTCTAAACCAATTTTAGATCAGGGTCTCTCTATTTAAGTTAACTTAGTTACTTCAGTGTAACAGAATGAAGAATCAGGCCAATTGATATCTTTAAAGACACCAGGCCTGATTCTCCACTGCCTTGTATCATCTGTGATATTACACAGTTGTACAACGTGGGTGTAAAATGTTTTCTTTCTGATTTGATAGTATCTTTTACTCACTTTGCTTGGGTATAAATGACAACACAAGATATAAACCAGTGGGAAATAAAATAAGGACCTCAGGACTATGAGACGACATTTCACAAATGCTACAAATTCACTCCAAAATTTAAAATCTATAGTTGTATCTAGCACAGAAAGTATCTTCTGGACTCCTTTTACTTACAGCAGACATGATGAACTCTCCACCGAGATTCTGAATTTCTGCTTTAACTTGACTGCAGATTTTGAGCTGGTGACAATAGAGCTTGATCTGTTCCAGGTAAGCCAATACATCTTGTTTACATGATTGGTCTGGACACTACACATGAAAAAGAATAATGAATAAAACACTTTCTACAAATTCTTAATCACTTCAATTTTCAATTATTAAAGCTTAAGATTTAATCTTTTCTAAACTCTCAGCTCTCCAGCAGAGCATGTTAATGTCCAAACTAGTGAATGTATTTCAAACGTGCATTCAAAATTTAGACCCAGACTTTTATCACATTCATGTTCCCTTTAGGAATGTTCATTGTAATTGCTCTCTAATGTAGTCTTGCTCTCACTGCTCTAAAGTTTGGTTATTTGCTAATTTTGTGAACCTTTTTAAACTCTGCAAACAAAGAGGTGCACAGTAATCCCAAACTTCATTGCATTCACCCATCCTTAATTCAAGACTACTGGAATTGCCTTAGCCATAGTTCTAGCTGAGTAGCTTTCACTAGTGCATGAAATTATTTATTCCTTCAGCACCTAAGAAGCTCTGCATTCATTTTTGCAGTATTACTTACCATTTACTGTGCAAGTTACATGGACTAATAACAATGGAAACCCACATTAATAGATGGTTATACTATAAGTGACTCTAGGTTATGGGCTTTATCCTGATGCCACTCAAGGCAATGACAAAATTCCCATTGACATTGCTGGGAGAAGGAGTAGGTCATAGTTGTGAACAATATCTCATGGTAAATTCTCGGGTTTTTATGGTGATGCTCATACTTTCTATGAAATCTTCTCTTTACTCATGACTTCAGAGGAGTGATGGAGTATACTTTGTGGGAAATCTCTCTCTGATGAAACAGACTATTCACATATGTCAAGGTTCCTTCCCCACTCTGAACTCTAGGGTACAGATGTGGGGACCTGCATGAAAACCCCCTAAGCTTATTTTTACCAGCTTAGGTTAAAACTTCCCCAAGGGACAAACCATTTTACCTTTTGCCCTTGGATTTTATTGCTGCCACCACCAAGCGTCTAACAAATATATATATAACAGGGAAAGAGCCCGCTTGGAAACGTCTTCCCCCCCTAAATCCTCCCAAACCCTACACCCCCTTTCCTGGGGAAGGCTTGATAAAAATCCTCACCAATTTGCATAGGTGAACACAGACCCAAACCCTTGGATCTCAAGAACAATGAAAAAGCAATCAGGTTCTTAAAAGAAGAATTTTAATAGAAGAAAAAAAGTAAAAGAATCACCTCTGTAAAATCAGGATGGTAAATACCTTACAGGGTAATCAGATTCAAAACATAGAGAATCCCTCTAGACAAAACCTTAAGTTACAAAAAGACACAAAAACAGAAGTATACATTCCATTCAGCACAGCTTATTTTATCAGCCATTTAAACAAAACAGAATCTAACGCATATCTAGCTAGATTACTTACTAAGTTCTAAGACTCCATTCCTTTTCTGTTCCCGGCAAAAGCATCACACAGACAGAGAGAGCCTTTGTTTCTCCCCCCTCCAGCTTTGAAAGTATCTTGTCTCCTCATTGGTCATTTTGGTCAGGTGCCAGCGAGGTTATCCTAGCTTCTTAACCCTTTACAGGTGAAAGGGTTTTTCCTCTGGCCAGGAGGGATTTAAAGGTATTTACCCTTCCCTTTATATTTATGACAACATAGTATCGGATTCTCATTTACACTAAGGCTACTATTCACTGCTATGGCAGTGTGAAGGGGTTATTGAATCCCGATACACTGCCGGAGCAGTATGAAGTAGCCTTACTGTAAAGGCCAATACAGTCTTTGAGAGATTTGTTTGTAGTTTTTTTTTTTTTACTGTAGATACCATGAAAATATAGTCAGTTTCCTTTGATGGAACAGTGTGTCAATACTAGTATTTTTTTTAAAAAAAGATACACTTCAACCAATTGTGGTAGGCCTGACCTTTTGCTGTTCATGGTATTCTTACTGTTAGAAAATACTGGTGATGTCAGTATCAATAGAACATAAAGGCCCATCCAAGTTTCTGCTGTTGAAGAGAAATGACTCCAGTGTGTCTTCCACAATGATGCATGTTATACACAAAGATCCTTTGATATAAAATCCACAATAGGTAACACTATGAAGGAGCATCAGACTGCTTAATTCATGAGATACCTCGGGGAAAACCCTGGTCCTTCTAAAATCACTGGTACTTTTCCCAGTGAGGCCAGGATTCACTCCACAGGGTTACAGAGCAGAATTTAAAATTCTATTTATGAATTAAAAAACTGCATGTTTGAGATTTAGAAAAAGAAAGCCAGGAACAATCACAAGTTAAAAAAGTGAATCACTGGCTTGTAAACCTGAGAGATTCAGCACTTCCTCCTAGATCTGGGGGAAAAAAAAGAAAAAGCAAATTTGGTACTGCTTTTTGGCCTCAATGCACATTGTAATTAATGAGTTTAACACTGCTATCACAGTACAATGTAGCCAGCTTGTGTAAACATTGTTTATTTCTTTAATTGCAGTTCCATAAAATCTGTCCTTCCAGTCATAAACAGCTGTAAGCATCAGGACTAACTGTATGGATATGAAATATTTTGACTGGAACCATCTATTCAGTCCTCTACAGTTTTTTGTAAAATGACCTGTGATATTTATTTCCACTTAGGCAGATCCCAGAGATGGGCAGATAGGACTTCAGTGTAATCTCTCATTGACTTCAAAGAGCAGTAAAATTGATCATATAAGTCTCCAGTGCAGAGGCAATGGTATTTAAAATCCAATGTATGTTTAAATAGGATGAACAGTGAGTGGCAAAATTTGCAGATGGCACCATATTATTAGGATAGGTAAAATTAGACAAGTATATTGTAAAGTCCAGAGACATAACGAAGCTAGAAAAATGGATAGCATGATATCAGTGTTGACCAATACACATTTGAAGGAATAATTTTAATTACTGATACACATTACTGAGTTCTAAAGTAACTGTAACCACTCTGAAAAAAGGCCTGGATCACTGTGGATAACTTAGCGGAAAGCTCTGCTAAGTGTGCCATGGAGGTCAAATAAAAAAAGGTTATAACATATAACAGGTTAGAAAATACTACTGAGAATATTATAATACCATTATATTATTTGTTAAGACTTCGCCTTGAGTGTTCTGCTTTGCTCACCCCATCTGAAAACAATATATCAAATAGAAAGGTTCCAGAGATAGGCAACATATATGATGAGAAGCATGGAAAACTTCCATATAAGGAAAGATTGGAAACATTAGGTCTGTTCAGTGAGAAGATGAAAAGTTATGGGTATGGTAGAGATCTATACAATAATGAATTTCATGGAGAAGGCCATTAACCTTTTCTCATAATAGAATTAAAAATGGAGTAGCCAGTGAAACAAAGGCAACACATCCAAACGTGACAAATATTTTCCACAACTCAAACCTGTGGAACTCATTACTAAACGATATGATTGAACCAAGAGCTCAATGGCATTCAAAAAATGATGAGACATTTATGTAGATAATCCGAGTTACATTAAACATGATAAAATGATACAAGGGATATAAACCCTCATGCTCAGGGATTAAGTAGCCAATTATTATTAACACATGTTAGAAAGCAAATTCCTTTCTGGGCAGGTTATTCCATTAGGGGTTTCCTACACATCCTTCTGAAGTATCTAGTACTGGCCACTATTACATACCAGACTAGATGGACCAATGGTCTGTTCTAGTATGGTAATTACTATGTTCCTAGCATTTATCGTCCCAGAGAACAACTGCTAGTTACCAGTTTAATTTCTCACACTGAGAAAGAAGTTTCAGTTAGATATAGTGGCAAATTACAAATGGGTTGATTAGAGAGACAAGAATAACAGCTCTGTGTAGCTTGAAAGCTTGTCTCTTTCACCAGCAGAAGTTGGTCGAGTAAAATATATTACTTCACCCCCCTTGTCTCTCTAATATCTTGAGAACAACACGGCTACAACAACACTGCAAACAAAAGGGTTTGATTCTGTACCTATTCAAGTCAATGGAATCCTAAATTCAACCAGAAGATTGGCAGGGAGTGGAGGAGGTTTACAGAAATAATATCTGTGTAAGATCCTCCACATGGTTTGAGGATGCATTAGTTGTGAATACAGTGAAACCTATATTGAAAATCAAGGTGAAAAAGTAGTTCCATTAGCTGCTGGCAGAACGGTAACACAAAAGATCAATAAAAGTTATTCTGCAGGAAACTTTGACCATAAGTTTATTGGGTTTTGATTTTACTACTTTACCAAAGAAATAAATGTGACTTCCTTTGCACTTGAACTGAGGTTAGTGATGATTAATGCGATGTATCACAGTAGTAGTTTGCAGTATGTTCTCAGTAGATGTACATACATTCAAAATATTTGTTTAATGTAACATTTAACATTGCTGATTGTCTCTTATTTATCAGATAATCATTTTAAAGAATTTGTTGTTAATCTCATTTTTAGGACAGTTTGTTTATATGCATGTGTGACAGACCCAGACTAGTGGGGTACAGGAGTCTGGTCGAAGGCTTCGAGCAGGGGGTTGGACTAGATGACCTTCTGGGGTCCCTTCCAACCCTTATATTCTATGATTCTATGATTCTATGAAATATACTGGCCACTGGATGAATAGTTTTCTGTTCCCTGAGTGACCAGAGCAGGGGCTGCCCTAGAGCAATCAGGAACCTGCTAGAACCAATTAAGACAGGCACGTCAATTAAGACACCTGAAGCCAATTAAGAACTTACTAGATTCAATTATGGCAGGCAGGCTAATCAGGACACCTGGTTTAAAAAGGACCTCCCATCAGTTAGTGGGGGAGGGGATGCTGCTGGAGGACTGAAGAGTACAAGTGTGATCAGGCTTCAGGAGGAAGATCCTGCAGTGAGGATAAAGAAGGTGCTGGGGGAAGGCGATGGGGAAGTAGCCCAGGGAGTTGTAGCTGTCACACAGCTGACACATGGGACATTGTAGACAGCTGCTATCCACAGGGCCTTGGGCTGAAACCCAGTGTAGAGGGTGGGCCTGAGTTCCCCCCATCCCCCCAATTCCTGACTGGACACAGGAGGAGTTGACCTGGTCTGTGACAAACACCAGAAGGGAAGGTCTGATTTGGAAAAGGGATCTGGCCTGTCCCCGACCCACTAGGTGGGACACAGAGACTGCGGGGATTGTTCTCCGTTTCCCCCATGCTGGTCAGTGATGAGGTTTGCTGAGTGAATGGCAGGTTTGAGCCTCTAGCAGAAGCGGCCAAACTGAGGGCTGCCATGAACCTCTGAGGTGAGCAAATCCGCCAAAAAGTGCAGGACCCACTAAGGCAGAGGAGGAATTTTGTCACTGCGTGGCATATGTATCTTGATGAGGAGATTTCCTAACTATTAATATAATGTTTGGCCTTAATTCTTTGATTTCTAGAGCACAACAATTATTTAAATTTGAATTTTATATAGTATTGTGGGCATCTTCAACGACGACTTTAACCTCTAGCACATTCAATAAAAAAGAGATGTACTGGTTACTCTATGTTGCCATATGACTTTCAGGTCACAAATTAGACAAGTGATTTAGAACAATCTTATGTTAACTAAGTTTGCTAATTATTTCTTTGTGACTAATGTGTTTTTACATTGTTACTCTACTGAGTATGTTCAGAGTTGTTAACCCTGAATCATCTTAATAATAAAAATGGGTTGCAATGTGACTCAATTATGCCAATTGTACAGCACCGTCACATTTATTTAAAAAGAATAAGAGAAAAAGTGTAGTATTAAGTGAGGAACAGTACTACCAAAGGTATTGTTCAGATGGAGAACCTGTAAGATTCACTTAATGTAATTCATGGGAAATTTTTCCAGCTGAAAAACTACATGAACTAAAAGAGTTTCACAATTCTCAATTTTGATTCTCTGAAACTGCATGCAGCCTGAACCAAAATCATTCATTTGAAACTACTGTTCTTTATTAACTGCAAAAGGTCAAAGAGCTACAGCACTGATTCTTCATTACACAGCAATTGCTTATTTCAGCTTCTCTCTCACTTTTGAAGCTAGACAAAGGAAATAAACTAGGGGGTTTGGATACGGAAAACACTATCCTACATTACTGTTGTTCTCTTAACTGCAAAGGCAGTCAGACTAATATATTTGGGCTACAGGAGGATTGTGAATAGCAAAGTGATGTGGTCTAACTAAATGACAACAATAGATGTGATAACAAATAAAAGTGATTTAGTTATTCTCAGTTCAGGCTGCAGCTTTCTGAACTGCATAGGATGTGGTGAATAGAAACATAGTTGGGAGAAATATGTGCTCATAAATTCATGCTAATAACAATATTTTCAACAATTATTTAGTGTGCCAAAGGAGTAGACAGCATTTAGAGCTTTGTTGAAAAGAAAATAGGGAAAACAATTTAATGTTATTTAGAGCTTATTTTTGGTTCAACAGAGGAAAAATCCCTTCCATACACACCTTTTGTTTTGCAGTACATAATTTAATCCTAATTTAAGATCCAGTTTTAAGCTACATATAAAATGATAACATTGTAGGTGAAATTATAAGACAAGTAGTAAAATGGTGGAAAAGAAAGTTATTTCACTGAAGCTTAGTTTTCTGTTATTAAACATCTTGACTGAAAAATAGTTTACAAGTCTTGTCTTTGGATTTGATGTCACATTTTACTCTGCAACATATCTGTGACAGTCATTCTTAAACCCCAATGTACAATTGCTAAAGAGAATCTTGAGAGAAAAAAGGAACCATGCTCTAGCGTAGTGCAGATGGTGAAAGGATGTATATGCTGAAAGAACTTCTGTCAAGACCCGAAAGAGGGATGACTCCTCTACCTTCCCACTTAATTGTTTCTCTGAACACAAGTGCACAAACTAATAATGTATACCTTTTGAAGTGTTTACTTAACTGGAGTCTTGAGAATAATGTGGCATAGGACAAGAAAGATGAACAATCTGCTGCTGTTACATATGTTGTATAATCAGAGGTGAAAGTAAGCTGGTACGGTACTGGCAGAGGGCAGCTTCCCCAGGTCAGCAATTTAAAAGGGCCCTGAGCCCCCAGCCGGAGCCCATGGCCCTTTAAATCTCCGTCAGAGCCTCACGGCTCCCGTCTGCCACTATAGCTACTGCTACCATGAGGTTCCGGTGGTGATTTAAAGAGCCTGGGGCTCCTGGCCGCCACTATCACAGCCAGAGCCCCAGGCCCTTTAAATCACTGCCGGGACCCCGGGGTAGTGGTGGCGATTTAAAGGCCTGGGAATTTAAAGGCTCCGCCCCTTCCGGCTGAAGCCCTGCCCCTTCTGGTTAAGCCCTCTAAACCCCACCCCCCCAGCTCAAGACCCTGGTCCTGCATACCGGTAAGTCCTTTAAGTTACTTTCGCCGCTGCATATAAATAAATAAGAGCCATATGCTACACCATGAAGATACTCAAAACTGAGGGAAAGATGGGTAGTGTGTTAGAAAGTAGAAGAGCAGAGACTCTGGGCCATGTTTGCTTGGACATGTAAGACAGCCACAAAGTTGCTGCTTGATGGCCAGGATGGGGCGGTACTGAGAATCGAATGCCCCAGCTAGATAAGGACTAAGGACTGGCTCCTCCTGTGTGGTACGGTTGCATTACACTGCATTGCTTACTGGCACAATCTAGTCCTAAAGCCTGTTTCACTGGGGAAGATCACCTCAGTGAAGAGGTGGCACACAGCTAATGTAGGGTCTCTGCTTATTCACCTTCCATGCTGCCAGCTCAACAAGGAAAAGGGCACATGGCCTGGACACCTGTGAGCTATGCGGATGCTGGGATGCTTTTTTAAACTATCTGGGTCTGTTGTAATCCATCATAAATTAGAGCAACCCTCATGATGTTCTAACACATCACTTTGGGACAGTCTTGCACAGAGCAGTACCAGGATCAGGGGAATGTAATGGCAAGTTCTCCGTCACTTTTACACATATTTGCTCTGTGTAATTGAATTTTAGGATCTGGCCCTAAAACTTTCCACCAGACTGCCACGTAGTTTGACTCCAGTCCAAACTGCATGAATTCCCCTTTTTCAGCACTGTGCCCTGCAGAGGTGTCATAACAGACACCTGTCCTGGGCAGCCCACAGCACATAGTGGTGATTGCTAAAAGAAAGGGAAGCAAGGCTCGAAGACAGCACAGAGGAGCATCAGTCACATTCTATTTCTTAGAAACCACTGGTCTGAACATTCATGTTACATTCACCTAGTGTGATGTGAACCCTGTCTCGTTAGAATTAGAATGATATATATTCCCTGCGAGTACTCAAACCCCTAAGCACTATTCTTTAGACTAGCGGAGGGCAAAGCTTTGACTATACTGTAGAATATTTGTATAAAAGCCCATATGACTTCAATTGTTTTTGAAGACAATGGGGGGGTCTTCATAAATATGTTTTACCATGCAGCTAAAACTTTGCATTCTGTTTAGTTTAGCAACAGGAGTCGCACTTAGGTTTAGAGAACCAATACATACATTTGGGGGGGATTAAGGAAGGATCTAGAAAATCTGAGACCCAAAGATCCATGGGAGATGTGGTCAGTGCCAGAGAGTGAGGGAGAAAGAATAGGAAAGGCAGATCTAGACATGCTAGGTGTACTTTTGCAAAGTGACCTTTTAGTTGGCTGGATTGAATCTGGGGCTGATTTAATCTTAATACACCTCTGCACCAAACCTTAAATGAAATACCTGGTTAGCAATCTGTCGCGCCAGCACATCCATCCTGGATCCAGACTCTGAAATCATCTTTGCTGCGTTGATCACATCAGATGTATTCTTCAGTGGGCCTCTGCCCCTTAAAATGAAACAAAGTTTATTTCATCATATAGCATATAGGAATATAGTTCCCATGAAAAATAGGGAGGGGAAAAAGCTTTAAATAAAACAACTCATTCAGAATTAAAATCAAACCTTATTAGAGGTTCAATCAACATGATTTAATTTATGCCCCACAATCCTGTACTTCATCGCTTCAGCTGGAAGAGGAAGCATTAGAATAGCGTCACACAATATTACTACTTTTGGCCTGGTCAAAACACAATGTATTAGAAAATTTCACCAACAAAATCACCCGAACTAAAACCTTGAGTATATGACATTTCCAACCCAAAGAGGTTGGATTACTTTCAGATAAACATACAAAAGGTGTGGACATTTAGCGAAACCTCAGAATTAGAAATGAGCAAGTACGTGAAAAAATCTGATCATTTTCTAAAATAAAAAAATTGAATTTTCTTTCCCTGTGTTCAAATCACTTTTGCATTCACTTTCCATGAGTATTCAAGTGACTGAGTTCAGTGGAATGGTTGCAAAAGCACTGAATTTTAGGTAAATTTTGAAACAGTAAATGTGGGCATTTGCTCTGGAAACTTAATTCTAAGAATTATGCTTATCCCAATAAGGAAACAGAAACAATATAATATGAAATATGCTCCAGTAAAAACTCACCAATACAGATCAAGTTTCAGATATCAAATACTTTTGGTACTTCAAAAATAATCTACAGACTGACAATTAAACTCACAGATGATTTGAAGAATGATTTCAAATTTGAGACCCTTAAGATGCATGACAGGAATTTGCAAGGAGACTGCATTTTGTTATTATTATTTTATTATAGTGCCTATGAGCACCAGGACCTCGTTCTATGATGTACTAAACAAACACAGAAGAAAAAAGATAATCCCTGCCCCAAAATTAGTTCTTACACATTATTTGGTCAGACATTTTGAGGGTTACTTTTCTGTGAAGAGAAGTGTAATTATAAAGGTTGTGTGAGTTGCGTTTTTAAACTATGTGACCTAAGTGCAAATTGTCCAAAAAAGACAAATTAGTAATAGCAGTAGTACTTAAAGCAGTTATTTGACACCCATCACCAGGATATCTGATCTTTATGTTATATCTCAGCATATTTAATATTGAAATATGGATGTTTCTTCAATTTAAAATAAACCTTATGTACTATTTCTTTATTCTTCACACAAATATCAAAATACACCATACAGAGTACCTAAGTGAAATGCACCTTATCAAAACAGACTTTGCTTTTCTACCAGTTTCATAGAAAGACATTTAATTTCATTGTTATCAAGCATCTATAGAGAACTTAAACATGTACAATGCTAGCTAGGCTTCTTAAAGGCAATGCATTAAATTTTAAAGTCTGCAACACTGGACAAAAGTTACCTTAATAATTGTACTTCAGAGTACAGATAATGGGAATAATATGCCATTTTGCTTAGAGGCACAGTTTTTAGTGTAATGAGCCAAATGAGCCAAACCATTACAGTAATTTTTTTCATTTAGCCTCCAACATACTCATGCAAAAATCATATGCAGTAAAAATACCTAAATAGTGATGATAATATACTGTGACATATAATGATTAATCTTTTACTTGTGTTGTTAATTAAATGCATTGTTTGGCAAAGAACTACTTATTGATCCTTGAACAGAAATCGTATTTTACAAACTACAATTCCTTATTATTCCAAACTATCAAGACAATATCTGAAGAAAGCTACAATTACATAGATTTTTGAATTATTTCCATTGTACTGCTGTACAGAAAGCAATTTTATTATGGAAAAACTATTTAGTGATTTGATTTAAGTTATAAATGAAAAAATGCTGTAATTCAAAGAAAAAACAGAAAACAAGCAAATATGATCCCTTATGTAAAAGTCCCAATAATTTAAACTTTACCTTCATCTTTTAACCTTTATTTGCCTTTCCTGAATTTTCCCTTTGTTTCATGTTTGCACAAGTGGCCATTAAAGGCTATTTCTCCCTCCCGCCCCAAGTTTAGTTTGCTCGTCATTATTTTAGTTATCGTAGGGAAACATGCAGGGGCCACAATCAGGGCCAGTTACTGGGGTCTGTACAAACACAGGAAATCATGGTGTCTCTCCTGAAGAGCTTACAAGCCAATATAAGCTGAAAGATAAAAACTGAATGTAACTAACAGTGGGCGAGGAGGGAGAGCGAGGATAACAGTAGTCAATGACTGTTTCTTCGGCCATGTCTATGTTACCACTTTATGCCGGCAAAATTTATGTCACTCAAGCGGTAGTGTGCTCAGCGCTATGTCAGTGGGAGAGCTTCTTCTGCCTCTCCTGCTGACATAGCTACTGCTGTTTGTTGGAGGTGGTTTAATTCTGTCAATGGGAGAGCTCTCTCCTGTCAGCATAGAGCAGCTACACGAGAGATCTTACAGTGGCGCAGCTGCATCGGTAGAGCTGTGCCCCTGTAAGCTCTATAGTGTAGACGTAGCCTCAGTTTTCTTTGGTAACTGCTCAGAATGTAAATCCACTGCCTCTCTGATCCTAAGGGAGATTGTGTGGAGAGGGGCAGCCATAGATGTATGAATTAGAAATTACCTTCTCTCTCTCTCATCTGTTCTCTCCTAGCATCTTGCTGTTGGGAATAAAGCAGTTCCACCCCAATAAGGCCTTCACTCACTTCTCTGTATCCTCTTACTACAAATGTGGTAGAGATATTTACCTTGACTGTACAAGTCAGCAGGGGAAAGGAAGCAGACGACTGTCCCACTGAGTAGCTAGTGGCAAGTGTTGATATTCCTCTGTACCAACATTCTCTAAGAACTGACATGTCACACTTCTGTGTATTGTGGAGGATGTTAGACATAGTCCATGACCCACAACTGGATTGCGAACCAAATGCTTAGGAATGGAATCCATGAATAAATAGTGACAATGCCAGAAGAAACCAGTGCAAATTGTAATGGGAGGGCACAAAATATTTCAGGCAGCTTTCTACATAGGGAAAAAATAGTTTATTCTACATCTTCTATCTTTGGGTAAATCAAACTTTTTAAAACATAAAATCAGGTTTCATTCCACTGGGAAAACTACATATAGTGGGCTCAGTTTCTGCCCTTTTGTTATCTCATCCATTAAACTCTTAAAAAATATTTGAGGTGTTACCCCTAATACATGAGGTCATCATGGTTTAAGGTGAACTTTTTAGTGTTATAGTGATTGGTGAAACACCCACCTTTTATGTACTCCAATGCACAGTACACTGCATTTTAATAAATGCACCTGTGCAGGTGCTGATTTGACTGGGCTCAAGATGATCTAATGCCAGAATAACTGACTCACAGTGCCACCCTCACCAATTAACTACTTGACACCAGTGAACCACAGTACCTAGGAAGGAAAAGACCTTTTAAATCATCTAATCCATTCCCCAGTAAGTGCAGGTCTCTAACAAGTTTTGAATTTACTAGGGTTTTGTCTGTCTAGTTTTAAAGGGTGACAAACCATTTCCCTTAGAAGATTGTGCCACGGGATAATAAATCTCACTGTCAGGAAGTTTTACCTGATATTTAGCCTACATTTTCTCTCTCAACTTCATTTCATTAGACCAAGTTCTTTTCTTATCCCTTGTACAAACTTAAATAAGGTTTGTCCTTTCTATGGCCAAATTCTGGAACCCTTATGCACTTTATGTTGACCTAGTGAATTCAGTGGGACTACTTGTGGAGAGAGGTACTATCCAAGGTGATAAGGATGGCAGAATCTGATCCTTAGCATTTACACACTTCAAGTATAAAAATCTGTTCTCATATTTTCTCTTATCTCTTAGCTCAACTATACATATTTAACTCTCAGGACCTGTTCCCAAAAACACTAATGCATTTGCATAACTTTACACAAATGAGACATCCCTTTAAAGCCAATGGGACTACTTGTTTGTGGAAATGTAAACCCACACATAATCTGTGCATAATGGGACTGTAATCTTCCTGTGGTGTAACAATATGAGGCCACTGCACAGTGCAAACAGATCCAAATTCCACTTCCTTTTTTGTTATTATATCATATAGACATATATGACCTCTGTATTCACACCTTTCATATTATTGCAATATTTGTATAAAATATGCCTTATGAGGTACCATTTGAATGCTAATACCATGCTAGTTATTAATATTGTAGAATCAATGAGTTAATGTTATATATGAGGTTATGAATTCCCTCTGTATGACATTACTGGAATATGTTTAAGACAAGACAGCCTAGGTCAGAGGTGGGCAAACTATGGCCCCGCGGGATGGCCCTTGAGTTCTCGGCTTGGGAGGCTAGCCCCCGGCCCCTCCCTGCTGTCCTCCCTTCCCCGCAGCCTCAGCTAGCCATGCCACCAGCGCTCTGGGCGACGGGGCTGCGAGCTCCTGCCGGGCAGCATGGCGGCATGGCTGGCTCCAGCCGGGCATGGTAAGAGAGCAGGGGGGTTGGATAAAGGGCAGGAGGTTCCGGGGGGAAGTCAGGGAACAGAGAGCGGGGAACAGGGGGGGGAAGAGGGGGCGGGTTGGATAGGCATGGAAGTCCCAGGGGGCCTTGCAGGGGTTGGGAGTGTGGATAGGGGTCGGGGCAGTCAGGGAGCAGGGGGGGTTGGATAGGGGGTGGGGTCCTGGGAGGGGCGGTTGGGGCAGGGGGTCCTGGGAGGGGGCGGTCAGGGAACAAGGAGCAGGGGGGGTTGGATGGGTGGGGGGCTCTGAGGGGGACAGTCAGGGGCGGGAAGTGGGAGGGGGTGGATAGGGGGCGAGAGCCAGGCTGTTTGGGGAGTCACAGCCTTTGCTACCCGGCTCTCCATATAGTTTTGGAACCCCGCTGTGGCCCTCAGGCCAAAAAGTTTGCCTATCCCTGGCCTAGGTGAAGGTGATAAACAGGTCTGTCCTACAGAAAAGAATGTGAGTTTACCTCAATATACACATTAGCAGTAAACAGAGCTATGGAGCTGAGCCAGCAGAGGTTATCCTGCACCTGACCT